TTATTGCATACTGTACTATGTCTTCCTTTTACAGGCAAACCATACACATTCTACTTGATCACAAGATGTATCAAGATTATACATGAAGAAAAAATGCCTCATATTTGCAATTACTCAATTACTCAGATTCAGAAGAAAAAAAACAGAATACACATGAACCATCTTTACCAAAGGAGTTTCTAGAGGTTCTTCCATTCTGCTTTCCATGGATGATGGTTTAGTTGTGCAAGGAGCCATGCCATCCTCAGAGGCAGTGTCAGTGCTCCAGTCATTTTCCTGAAACAACAGATTTCTATATTTGAGGCGCGTGGTGACATAGGGAGCTAAGCGCCGAAAATAAAAAACGGAGAAAAACGCGATCAAAGTTTTGCGACTTTCAGAATGTGATATCTCCGGAACGGATTAAGATAGAAATGAAAGCTTAGGATGTCTACTTTAAGTCTGCCATAACATTTAGCTTGTTATCTTAACACTTTCTGAAAGAGCAAACTATGAACGCGTTTTTATCCTATTTTATTTTTATATTTTTTTTTATAACGCTTAATAACACGTCCCTAATCCCCAGAAACTTTTTTTAATGGTAATTTTCTATATTACGTCCGCATGACCGATATCGACGATTTTGGTATCGTTGGATTCCTCTCACTCTCCACATTGCAAATATATAGTTTTTATTGCGCGCTAACCCCCGTTAGCGACAAACTTGGCCCCGATAGCAGGGGAGGGCATGAAAGGTTCCAGGGAAAATGCGGGGTTAAATAGCACTAATAATATAACGCACAGTGAAAATAACCATGGTTATTCACATAACTTTCCATTGCAGGGGGCTGCGCCCCCTGCGACCCCCCTGGGGGGGCTGCCGCCCCCAACCCCCGCCGAGGAAACAAAACCTCCACCACGTATTCACGGCAGGCTAGAGCGTTACACAATCATCGTCGATGTCGGAGCAGGGGGCGTATTACCTCGTAAGATTCTCACTGAATCAGCATATTAACCTTATTATAGTCAGCATTGTATATAGAGACGATTGTAGTATAATCAGGATAAACACGGTGGCCCGCCCTCGTCGGCGGGTTTTGCGCCTTTTTCGATGTTACACCGATGGCCTCAAAGTCGAGTTTCCCTTCCTCTGGAATAACGACATTCGTATTCCTAACCGAAATAACCGTCGCGTTCAGAAGTCAGTCATAGTCGCCGCGATGGCCGAGTGTGGAGGGTGCTCGTACTCCGAGACGGATTTTCTGCGCGAGATTGCCATTAGCCAAGAAAAAATGCTAGATATGTGCTTCCGCCACGGCCTCCTTCGTCGTGAGAAAGATTGCGGCAGGTGCGGGCAGCCAGCACGCCTAGACCTGAAGAAGAAAAGATTCAGGTGTGATAGGGCCGTGGCGGTCAGGAAGCAGAAGAGGCAGAGGTGTGACTGGTCTGCTTCGATGTTCGTGGGCTCTTTCTTTGCGCAATCTCAAAGCACCCTGCCTCCTTCACATTTTGCGGCAAAGGAGCACCCTCCCTAGTAATTAGCGGCATTAATAAATCAGGTTAGTACCTTAAAAATCCTAGGTTATTGTAGGTTATCGGCTCCGCATCTAGTTCGTGTGCGCTCTATCCTGCCGTGAATACGTGGTGGAGGTTTTGTTTCCTCGGCGGGTTGGGGGCGGCAGCCCCCCCAGGGGGGTCGCAGGGGGCGCAGCCCCTGCAATGGAAAGTCATGTGAATAACTATGATTATTTTCACTGTGAGGTTAAATTATTAGGGTAATTTTCTATATTACGTCCGGCGCTCCGACATCGTCGCCCCCGCAATCGGGACCAAGTTTGTCGCTAACGGGGGTTAGCGCGCAATAAAACTATATATTTGCATGTGAGTGAGAGGAATCCAACGATACCAAAATCGTCGATATCGGTCATGCGGACGTAATATAGAAAATTACCTTTTTAATTATACATTTTATTACCTTCCTTGATATCAGACACTATAATTCTATCCCAGTCAGCCTGTATACGTACAGCCTCCTCTTCTGTGCTCGCATCCTTCTTGCTGACCTCGTACCTGTCACACTTTGAACAGGTATCGGTGTTGGGGGGCTTAAAACCTAGACGATACCCACGGACAACTTTCTTGTAATAAGAGAACTTGACAGGTTCCTCGTCCTCGTTGGTGTCGAACAACCACTCCTTGTACAGGAAAAACATCTTCTGCAGCGTCATATCAGTGTCCAGGTACCGCATTAGAGGTGACTTAGCACGTGTATAGTGGCTAGAAACAGTAGGAAAACTCTTCACATGCTGCTCTACAAGGTTCTTCCTTGAAGCAGGCATGGCGTGCTTGGGCACGTGCTTGCCTCGTCGGTCCACACGAGGCGTGCCTGTGGGAGTCACAGACTCAACAGCAGTGTGTAATCTCTTGGTAGAGATACTTAACACACTACGGAATGCGGTAGCACACACAGGAATAACATTATCACCACACAAGAATGAGTAAGAACGTGTGCACGAACGCCTAGGGGAGCATCACCACGCACTCGAACACGGCGCCTCTTCACCACACCTTTTACACAAAACTTTTGAATAAAGGCATTCTGCAAATTAGAGTCACTCAAACCCCAAAATGACTCATGAATAGCCTTAATATCATTCATTCCCATCTTTTCAAAACAACCATCCCTACAGGGTGCTCCTATTTCCTTCTTTTTCACCACTTTTCTAGTGACGCTACTCTCATACTCTTCACCACTGTTACGCTTCCGTTTTGCTGTGTTTTTCTTCCATTCACTTGGATTACGCCCTGTTTTCACCACTAAGTTATGCCCCTGCACATCCCCCTCACCGCGGTTGATGCCATTGTAGTGTAGAAGGTAATAATCCAAGTGTAAACAAAAAAAAAAAAAAGGAAAATACACGGACAAGAATAATCCAGGCACGCCGCGCGGGTTTAGCGTGGAGACTGGCTGGGAGAGAGGAGGGAGGGTGAGGGAAGAATGGCGAGCTCTAATTGGCCCAATTTTGCCGAGGCGGTACTGTAGACAGGCTGCCATTGGTCAGCCCGGGCGGCCATCCTTACCACCAACACCATAACAATAACATGACGCTTAGTTCCCGCTCCTGACTCACTGGGGACGCGACAGACCCGCACATGTTAAGGGCGATTTTACCTTCTCTTTTCCGTCATTTTCGACCTTGTTGGTGTCGGCGTTTAGTACTGGCGGTTACAATCTCTGGAACTAGAGGCTTGGGAGAAGATAATGCTATAATGGTACTTTGTTCTGCTTCCCACTTCAATGTGGGACAAGAGAAAATCTGGCGTTTAGTTCCTGGGTTGAGACCCGGCGCGCCATGACAAACCTTCATACGCCGCGGGCGATATACCCTTCTCTTTCCCGCGATTTTCGACTATGTTGTAGTTGTCGGATGGTTCTGGCAGTTACATCCTTGGAAAGTAGAGGCTTTGGGGAAGAACATGATGTACTTAACTCAATTTCGACCTGGGTGGCGCTTAGCTCCCTATGTCACCACGCGCCTCATTTATGTTCTCTCTTCTTAAAGAGCCTCACACACATTCAATTGAACCAGGCAAGCTGCCAGCACAAACTGGTTTGCACAAGCCTAGATCTTTGCTCATATACTACTTGGTTTAAGTATACTAATTTGCTTATGTGTATCAATGTTATCATTGTACACGTATGCTGATAGTGAATCAAAATATAGTGTTACTACTTGTCCTAACCTTTTTAGCAGTTTACAAGGATTTTAAGAAGAGAGAGCATATACATGAATAATTTTATATCCTTCCAGATCTGTTTTAATCTTTATGTTTTAAATGGAATCAACAGAATATAAATTATATATTAATTTCTTTACAATGCTAACACAGAAATAAAAGGATATGTTTTCTCTCTGTTGTTCATATGTTGATATTTTCAGTTAATTCACAGTCCTCACATCCTTAACCTTCAATAAGGAAGATCGGACTTGATAGTTTAACAAAAAGTGCATAAACTTGCATTTTGCTGTACTATCTCAAAGAGATATTTACACCACAATGGCAGCATCTAAGTTAATACATCATGTCCAACTATACACACTTAAACTAGGCTTGCACAGGCCTTGATTTGCCATGCATTTTCAGGAACTAACTGAATCAACAAGTAATTCTACACCTAGTAAACACACCATGCTCTCATATATGCAAGTAAACTGTATTTAGCAATTTGCACAGTTCAACTGAGCAAGTATGGGGCCCTTAAGAAATGCTGGTAAGTTTAATGTGGGGGGAAAACAGGAAAAATCTACTGTTAAATTGATGAATACAACTCAAGGAAGTATCTCTCAAGTGATTACTTAGACAGCATTATGATGATGATGATGATGTGTAGGTTTATGAATATGATTATGGTAATGATGGATGCTGGGTGTTGCTTTTGGTTTGATGATGGGTGGTGGATAGTGGAATTTGGCAAGTTTTTGTGGATACTGGATTTTGATACTTGGTGATCTTTGGTGAATGGTAATTGGTAGTTTTTGGTGGGTGGTGGTTTATGAGATGCTGAGTGGTGGAGGAAGCAATGATGGCAGCAACAGTGCAGCTTTCAATCTAGTGTGGCATAGTAATAAAACTCTGACAATAATAGGACACCTATTATTACCAAAGAAATAATATAAATGAAAAGCAAATATACATAGATGTCAAGAGTCATGGTTATATTGTACTATCAACTATAACACTGTTAATATGTATATTAATCATTCTTATCTTTTGAATACTTACATTATTAATTACACAATAAACTCAACACAGTCATTACCCAAGTACATACATAACCAACCCACCATTTCCTTGAGACATTTTGGAACATTAAATGTGGTTAGGATGGCTAGCTGTTGCCTCCTCCCTAAAGAAGTGTCCATAAAGATGATTCCAGTCTTGCTCTTCGACTTCAGAGGTCTGGCATAGGAATGCTCGATGTGTTTGTCACCCTGCTAGTATAGACAACAAAGTTAATC